CTCGCTTGGACTTAACTTTAGTTATAGGTCTAGCAGCAACAATGGGTGGTTGGGGCAGTTCCTGAGAACATTCAGCAATGTATTCCATTTTGAGCCTACTGATAGTTTATATGTCAGCCTAACCACATTTTCCTCTCTCCTGACAGGCATGCCAGATTTCTTGGAGAAGTTGCACATGGCCACCCTGAAAGCCAAGAACATGGAGATCAAAGTAAAGGACTACATCTCAGCTAAGCCTCTGGAAATGGGTAGTGAAGCCAAGGCCACCACCCAGTCCTCCGAGCGGAAGAACGAGGGTAGTCATGGGCCTGCCCGGATTGAGTATGCCTGAAGGGCTTTGGGATAAAAAAGGGCAGGCTGCTTCTACTCCTGTCTCAGTCCTTTATCGCTCTGCTATAGAACGGGACAAGCCACATACGTTACAAGGCATCTGCTGGAACTACTAGTGCAAGATAATTAAGTAACTGATGTCTAACTTTATTCAGAGCCCTTACTGGTCTTTATCAAAACATGGAGAAGAAGGCATCCCTGGAATGTTGTCATATTCTCAGGCCGAGCATTTTGAAATTCAGTATTTCACTGAGCTGATCAGAAACAAACCTCTCACCTCATGCCAGGAGGGGATGATGTCCATTGGCTTCCTCTGCTGACATTCCATTCCTACCAGCGGTTTTGCAGTGCTTTGAATTTCCTTTAGTTCTGAAGATCCAACTGGAAAGCGTAGCTGGCTGCTTGATTCTTTCAGTGAGGAGTTATTGGGAGTGCTCTTGGTAATGGTCTTTACTACTGAATGGGTGTGAAATAGTACTCTGCAGTGTAAGTGCCTTGTCTTCACCTTGCTTCTATTTTTAGGAATATAAAAGTTGATACCAAGAAATTTATCTCCCTCACCTCCCAAAACTTCCCCACTGACTCACCCTTACCCATATTAGTTTCCTTAGAGTTCTTCATTCACATGTTTTCATTTGGATCATTGCCTCCTTCCTAATCTTACCCCATTTACCAAGCGCACTGGGAGATGAATCTTTAGACAGTAGCTTTCTGTATCATCAGTGTTTTGATAGGGTCAGTGGAGGTGCTCAAAACATTAAGTTTAATGGGGTTTTGTTTTGTTTTTTAATCTTTGTGTCAAAAGAATAAATTGGGGAGTTGAATAGTATACTTTATAGAGGACACCAATTTGATTCACACATCATTTTCCACACTTCTCTGTCTGGATGTTCTTGATGGGTCCTCCTCAGAAGGCTAAAGGCAGAGAAATGGGGGTGTGCTACTCCCTTGGAGCTCTTAGAGTTTTAGACAAGCCGTGTGAAAGGGATTTGGTGTGATCTTGCCCAGAATAGTAACATAGGGGGTTTGTGGTGATCTTGTTCCTCTGAGAAATTTTTCCTGCTTCCTTCAGAGCTAAAATAAAAACAAACTCTGCTGTTCTGATGAAGCCATGATCACGTGGGATCACTTTGGCCTAGGGTTTTGCTTATGGTTGCCGGGAGAATCTGTTGGGACAATAGGGATCAAGTTTTAAATCCTCCCTCCCTTTTTTTTCCTAGAATTTTAATGGCAGGATTTTTCCTTTTTTTCCAACTTGATACCCTTGATACCCTTGACACTGAAAAAGGATCTAAACCTGAGACTAACTTAAGCCCCTTCCTCCCCTCCTTTGCCTGTTAAGTTTTGTGCCAAGGAAGTAACTTCTGCAGTGCTTCATGTCTTGCCCTCTCTAAGTCCTTGGCAGAGCAGAGAGATACATTGACCAGTCTCAGCTTCTTTTCATTGGTCGTTTCTCGTCTCATTCCCAGCACGTGACTGCAGTTGGGGTAGAGTCTGTGCTTAATAACTGGGATTGTTGGGGCATTGGTGGGTGTATGAGAGAGTGTGTGTGAGCACAGTGCTAAGGAATTGTATGCTGTTCTGTGTCCTGAGTTACGGCAGTTTCACTCTGCACTTGGGGTCTCTCTGTACAGTTATGCAGTTGTAATGTTCCACTCCTAACTCTGACATTTTTATCAAATGTGTTAATAAATATATAAATATTGGTACAAAAGAGTTTGTCTTCGGGCAGATGGGGGGTAATCTTGCATATTGGTCTTACCATTTCATTCTGATCACAGATGTTGAAAAGGGTCCCTGTTAAGAGTTGTCATATAGATGCTGAAGGGCTTGTTCTTGCTAGTGGCAGATACACAGCTAACTTTGTCTAGCCTTTGAGCCCTGGAAAAGTAACCAAATTGGCAACTCAGGCCTTCTATTCCTACTTTCTTATCTTCGTCTACTAACCCATATCCTTTATTCTTAAAGAAGGATCAAGTTGGAAGAATAATGCTACAGCTTTGCAGATCATAAAGCTTGGGAGTCAAGTGAGAAGGGAAGGAACGAGCTCAGGTCTGGAGGAGTTGAGTGGCAATTCAACATCCTTGGCAGAGAGGGAAGGCGGTGAGCTCAGAACCCACTCTGTGGTGGACGGTAGAGTTGGACAGGCATTTCTGCTGTAAAACTTATTTTGAAGATGCAGATTTCTTCCTGTGTGAGTGGTGTATTAGGAAACGCTTTATAAGAATGTGAATTGTGACTTTATGTATGATTTTGTCCGTGAGGAACCCTAGGTAAAGTCAGAAAACCACACCCAGCTGAGCAGAGCTACAGTGGAATGCACAGAGCATCCACCCATGAGACAGTGACCCACGCCCTCTGGCGTTACTCCTGCCTTCCATCTGATCTCAGAGACTCGTCCCACGACCACCCCACACTCTCCAGGCTGCAGCCCTTCTAATGGCCGCCCTGGCCGTGCACCTCATGCCTCTGTAATTTTCCCCCTTACAGCCTATTTCATATTTTTCCTCTCTATGCTTTGGTAGCACAGTGGTTAAGGCATTCAGCTGCTAACCACAAGGTTGGCTATTCGAACCCACCAGGCACTGCTCAGGAGAAAGATGAGGCAGTCTGCTTCTGTAAAGATGCACAACCTTGGAAGCCCATCCTGCTCTGTCCTCTAGGGTCACTGAGTCGGAATCGACTCGATGGCAATGAGTTGTGTTGTATTTTCTCTCTTTATCTTTCCTCTCACTCTTTTCCTGTCTTTCTCATTCACTTTCTCACACAGGATGGTGGACACAGGTACGTGCTTCCACAAGCAAAGTGAAGATCTTTTCCAAGATGAAGTGCTATATGTATTGTTGTATTTATATGTTTCTTAATCATTTAACATATATAAAACTGGGCTCCTGTTTTTCTGTGCCACTGACAAAAAGTGTCGTCCATCTTGTCACACTGTTGGTGTATGTTGAGCCAATAGTAGCTGCCATTACTGAGCACTTGATGTACCAGGGACCGAGTTTCCTGCTTTCATGCACATCTCATCCTGCAGCAACCCTGTCTTACGGACGAAGAAACGTCTGAGACAAGGAAATGGCCTCAGAGGCTAAGGAACTTTTTTGCTCATGGATACACTGGAAGTGACAGAGCCAGGATGCAGACCTAGATTTGCTCTCTCCAAAGACTGCTAGGCATATCTTAAAACTTAGATTCATTTCTCATCAGTGCTGCCATGATAGATTCCTTCGAGTCAGTTGACTTATTTTGGAACTTAGATCTGGCTTTCTTTTTATCCATCCCTGTTAAATTGTATGTGGTTTACAGTTACTCCTCTCCTACCCCAGCTCCATCATCCATGTAATAACCACTCTCCTGAGCCTAGTCTCTCACCACTTGTTCAGTGGTGCTCTTTCTATGCGTGTCTAAAGCATAAATGTCTCTGGCCTGAAAACTTCAAGATAATGCACCACTTACCAGCGACACACTGTGTAATATAAAGATGTTCTTGGAGAGGTCTTGAAAATAACATTTTATTAAATAATAATATAAAAAATGTAACTACAAAGTAATCAGTCAATTGTACACAGCAAAAGTCTAAAAATTCTCAAAATGAAAATATTTGTCATAAAATCTGAGAACTGATTTTAATAAACTTGGAAGTGTGTGGATGGATATGATCTTACTGTAAAATGTGCTTGTTCCTACAAACATCAGTGGGTACTTGATGGAGCATCATTCCAAAGAACCACCAAGTCACACAGTCAACAGTTGCTTTAATACCTTCATGGTCAATTCTGGTCCACAGATTTGTAAGTTACCTGTTTAAAGTTTTTAAAACAGATAATTTATAAATGACCTGACTTTATCATCTACTTCTAAAGAACCTAACCACACCTAAAAATGTAGAGTGAATATTTGAAAAAAGTAGTATTTGAGTTTGTTTATGGTTAGTGGCAGTTTATCATATCTTGAAACTTTGCTGTCTACATGAGTTAGGATTATGTTCAGCTTTGAGGGCCAAAAACCCACAAAATGACTGAAACAGGGCTAATGTTTATTCTCTCTCTTGTGAATAGAGGCAGTCCAGGGCTGGCACGATGGTTCCGTAATCATCCTGGACCCAGGCTCCTGCCAGCTCATTCTCCCTTCATCACATGACTTCCATTAAGGTGGAATCACAGTTACATCAGAATCAGTATTTGTTTTTAAAAAGCTCCAAACCAAACCAAACCCACTGCTGTCAAGTTGATTCTGACTCACAGAGATCCTATAGGACAGGGTACAACTAACTGCCCCATAGAGTTTCCTAGACTGTATATCTTTATGGAAGTAGACTGCCACATCTTTCTCCTGCAGAGTGGCTGGTGGATCTGAACTGCCAGGTTTGAGTTAGCAGGTGAGCATTTTAACCAGGAGTGCCCTCAGGACTCCTTTAAAGCTCCACAGGGATTCTAATGTGTAGTAAATTTAAAGGACCACCATGGTGGAGGAGTTGAAGGCATGGCCTCTAGAACTAGAGTTAAGGGCTGTGTGACTTTGAACTTGTATCTTTTTTCCTAATCTGTAAAAGGGAATAAGTGTACCTACCTCATAAGGTTGTTACGAACATTAAATGAAATAACTCACAAGAAGTACAATACTTAGAATAATACCTCAGATGTAACATAGCACTCAGTGCATTTTTGCTGTTGTGCTTTCTAGGTTTTGTCAATGTCCTTCCTAAAATATGGATCCCAGAACAGGATACCATATTCCCTGGAAGGTGACCACCATGGGCTAGGACTGTCTGGCTCATTGACTTCTGTCTTCAGTGCCTGATTCAAGATGCTTGCTCTACCTCTAGCCACCATGCACGTGTTCTGCCAGTGGAAGGGAGGAAAGGGAGAAGAGAATGTCTCCTACCTTTAAGGCCTTTTCCCAGAATAGCACACCATTTCTGCTTACAGCCCAGTGGCCAAAATTTAGTTGAAAGTCCACACCCAGCTGCAAGGGAAATTGGGAAATACAGTCTTTATTTTGAGCAACCATGTGCCCAGTTAAAATTCAGAGGTATTTTGCTGAGCAATTTCAGTCTCACAGGTTGTGGGTTCTACGTTTGAAGTTCACATCTCATTTTAAAAGTTTGGGTGATGGTAGAGGTAGAAAGGACACTATTTGGGGAGTGGATTTCCTCTTTCAAATGTGTTTGGTCTACTCTTCCCACTAAAAGATAAAAGAATTTGCAAACTACCTAGCAGGTTTGGAGCAAGGTTGGGGTATCCCTAAGTGACTCTTAGGGGTCAGTCTTGTGCATTCCCATATTCCAGGAGCTGGTCCTCAGTTTTGTGGCCTCAGAAACTCCATTGTGTACGAGACCAGAGTTGTCCGAAGTCAGTGGGCCTAATGAGGCTCTCAAGAAAAAGACATGTTCCAAGAAAAATAGGCCAGTGGGATGAGTCAGCCTAACCAGTGTTAACTATAAACGAGACACAGGAAGCCAAATCACAGCAGGATGTGTGGTATCCATGCAACCAGGGTGGGCATTAGCTCGTCTGCATTTGGCCTTTTCT